TACACGGCTGTATCGCTGATGGCTTAGGACCTGTCAGTTACAGAGAAATATTAAACGACGGGTAATATACACATGCATTAACTTCTTGTGTAACCTGGAGATAGCCCATTGAGACAAACGTCTCTTTTTGCTAAGCTAGCCGACACGCCGTATATATGCTATTCTTCAAATGATGGTGATTTAGTGGAGAACTATTGCAGTATAGTAGGAGCATTTAAAAAAAAGAAAAACGTAAAAAATAAATTCATAGCTGATATTTACACATCAGCCAGACAATTCCTGCAGGAATCATCTTCGAGTCGTATACTTTCTCCCACGATTTTACTCATGCCATTTAAAAATCTCCATTCAATTGAATGGGATTCGAGCAGGAATTCTGCCATCGATCGTTCCTGCACTGGAATGGATTTCTATTGTGATGCTACTGCAAATGTAGCTTAGCTAAGCATCGCCGATTCCAGCTAGCCATCGTGGCAATTCAGGCAAATCCCAGGCAGCCATAATCGCCATTGAAACGTCGGGCTGATGCCAAGTGCGTTGGAAGTTCATCGATTCCACCCCAATTCACAACCTGTCTGTGTGGAGACTGGCCACGGGCACGGTCATCACTTGTGCATTGCCTAGACTACGTGTACACGTAGCTGCCCCGTGCATATGTTAAGGTATGGCCAAGGCTACATACGCATCAGGCTGCCCTGTGTATATGCGATGCTGTACACTTAGCTAACCTGTGTGCAGGTACACCCCGGTTAACGTCAGTGAAACGTTACATCGAAACGACGTAAAAATCTAAGCAATGTTTCCACGGGAGCTGAACAAAGACAACAGACGGTACGGTGAAGCTGCGTGTTAATGCGCACATCCTCGTCCTAGATGCGCCCACGTCGTGAAATTACATTACTAAACCATGTACTCGATGGTAGTGTACAGCAGTAAACTTTAACACAAATTATACAGGGTGCAAGAAAAATCAGTACACGATCAAATAAAAGCACCAAAAATAACTGCACGTAAATAATACGTCGTACTCTACAGCACAGTGTACTTATTAATGCGCGAGACAAAGTATTTCGCGTGCAGGATAAGGTGGTGGCGGTGGAGGCACAGGCCGAGGCGAGCGACGCGAGTGCGTGGGGGTTGAAGGCGATGCAACTCGGGTGTCGGTGTTAATAAAGTGCACGACGTAGATGCGAAACGACGCAAAGGGGGGGGGGGGGGAGACGTACATCGGGGTGTTACGTGAATGAATGGTAGGAATTGCATGGGCCCTGTCAGCTTCCACGTGGCCTGATTTCTTGCCAGAATGCCAAGACCCGTCTCAGCCCAGCTCACACAATTCCAACAGTTCCACTATTCCATTAGGAATCGTATTCAATGCGGAGGATTAAACCATGATTGCAGGAATTGTGAGATTTACCTACCGATAATGTTCATGTGTATATATGTGAAGTAGAGGAATACCTTTACACATTGAAAACAAACTTAATTGTAAGTGATATATACGTGTTTAAACAATGCTACATACACTCAACTATTTACTGTGTTGAGACATTGCATGCCACATTCATAGACACGGGTCAAAATAACTTCACGAACAAAGAGGTCGGTTTCGTTTGTGGGCAAAAGAGGTTCAGTGCAGCTTCGTCACTAAAAAGTTTCCACAAATACCAGAATGGTGAAGTATGGTCAAATAACGCCCACTGCAAGTATGGCATGCAGATAACTCCATCGAGCCATGGATTGTCAAATGGGCCGACTGTACGTGTACATGAACACCCACCTACTCGGCTCTATCTTGGTGCACCCAATGTCAAATTACTTAATGGGACATGTCTGAAACAAGTTCAATATAATAGTGCAATGAAGATGGGCATTAATAAGGCAGCACACCTGTGCTCTCTGTCACTGTCGATAGACAGTTTAGTGTCGTCAATGTCACATCGGGGTGTTTGGACAGATAAATGCCCGCTTAAGGTTACAATGTCGTCGAGGTCCCGGGTTTGAGTACGAGCCACGAATCTAGAAATGAAAAAAAATTCAACCAGAGGGAGTTTTATGGTCTTATCCTGGGCCTCACAAAAAAATAATTTTAATAAATCTCGCCTTACAATTCATTTGGTTTATCTCAGCCATTACGGCTTAATATAAATGCTGACCTCATATAACATGGAAAACTGTGCAGTGCCTGCTGAGAGAACTAATTTCCACAGTAAATCATGACTATTAGAAATGGATTACAATGATTATTTCAATAACACTCTGTATGAGGGAGATATATCATTAAGTTTAATGCAAAGTCAAGCCAAAGTGTCTCCCTGCTCAAGGGAGCAACACGAGGTTTGCGATGCACATGTCTTGTTGGCAGCCCAGAGGCAGTGGTGGAAATTCCACATTCCAGGGTGGGTTCATTCTCTCCATAGAACGGCCACTGTTGACTTCACACAAAGTGGTTCTCGTTTTTTACGGAGACCAGAATGATATCCCAAGTGCTTACTGGGATTTGAACTTGCAAGCTTTAAATTGCGAGTCAAATGCCTGATGGAAGTCACGATTTATATTTCACGAGAAATGTATTTTATCTGTTTTTTTTTGTTTCCCTTCATGTTTGTGAGATTTCTCCTGGCACTCCAGATTGCTCCCACACACAATTATTCATCTTCAGCAATACCATTATGAAGAAAATGTTTCAGTTCAACTAGGATTCTCCCGAAATAATAAGAGATCATAATTATAATGGTTAGCCATGAACCCGTGTCTATCACATGAAGTAATTTTAACAAAGATAATAGTTCGAGTTGTAGTGTTTCATTATATACAGCGCTGAAGCTGAAGCATACAAAGCAGCGGAAACAAATGCTGCAACAACCATCAAGGGGCATAGATCGAATACAATTCCCTTTGCACTTTCCACTTTAGTCTGCTTTCCCACTTATTTCGCCCAAAAATAATTGGCCATGACACCTGCTCCATTGTGAGACCCACATATCTCTCTCAGCCCCCTATGTTTGGCAACATCTCGCCACCCAGACTCCAGCCAATTATTATGCACCAGTGCGATTCAAACTTTAATGTGCAATTTTAGTTACAGATGATTTGTAGAATCAAGTGACATGAAAGAAATGTACCTCATTTTTTGTTACAGACAATCGACCTGGATGCATTTGCCCCAGCAGTGCTGTAACGCCTTAATGCCAGAAGCACATAACTCTTTAAGAAATGTTCAAAGCCATTTCAGTTTCATACTCTTTGGTTCTTTCGGTAAAGTCACGTAGATGAAAAATAATAATAATAAATTTAATAATTTAAATCACGACGTTTCGGAGGCAACACAAGCTTCCGTCATCAGGTGGAACAGCCACAGCTAAATTACTGTAGTGAATTTCAGTTTGCCAACTCTCATATCCTTACTGCATGATGAAGCACCAGTCAAACATACTTCTGCTTGAGACACTTATCACTGCATTGTACAGCTTACCTCATTTAAGTTCCACTTGGTTTTTAATTTCCTAAACCAGGAACCTCATTAAACTATTTAACATTTTTTTATTTTACCAGGTACGGCCCACTGAGCTATACAGCTATTTTTTCAAAAGGGACCTGGTCACAAATAATAGCTCAACGAAGTGGCTTATTACATGGACATATATAGCAGCCAAACACTCGAAACGCATGTTTCTAAATGTGGAAGGAAAAACCAGAGGGCACGGAGAAAAATCAACGCGACCATGGGGAGAACACGCATAGTCCAAATATACAGGCGTCAGGGTCGAGATCGAACCCACAATCTCCTGTATACCAGGCGAGGGGGGTAACACCTGACCAACGTGGTGCCCCTAGGCACACACAGCTGTCCCACAGCACGTGACACAGTCCGCCACCATATTTAAAATACACAGAATGCTTTGCGTATCTGTGATGTCACTTTACACACGAGTGTCCAGCCTATGCTACACATACTTTCAGCGGTATATCATGTACTATTTTCTAGAACAACAAGTACAGGTTAACCTGAACATAAATCATAGATAATTTACGGACCTTTGTAAATCAATTAATGCATGAGGGCCTTCCCACACAGTGTCAGACATGGGGTTGTTTCACATATACTTCACCATGGTGGTCCTTGCGGGATTGTGAAGGGGGTGACCAGGATGGGCTAGGACAGGGGTCGGCAACCAAAATAACAAGAAGAGCCATTTCTTGCCAATTCGGTACAAAATTCAGTATTTCAAGAGCCGCAATGCATCTGAGTACATACGTACTCATCGTCAAGAAGCAGCCCGTAAAGAGCCGCATGCGGCTCCGGAGCCGTAGGTTGCCGACCCCTGGGCTAGGATATCCCTCACCACTAATCTTATAAGTGGCCAGGAGTTGAACTCAGGTCGCTGGCTTTACAGCACAGTGCGTTAATCACTGCACCACCATTTTACCGCAGAGCATGGAGCGAGTCTTGTTACACTGAACACGAACGTGGGAGTAACATTGGTCAGAGACAAATATATAGCAAACGAATCATGTTGGTGTATGGTTGCGCCAAGAGACTCTCGTAGTAAGGAACACCTGTAGCGGTTCTGTCTTGCTTAGCCTGGGCTCATTCCTAATTGTGACATGAAGCTCTGATGTAGGGCTGCCAAAAGGTTTCTGGAGGTTCAGGGCTGGAGGGCCGGGGCATAAAGAGCCATATGGGGCCCTCTTAATCGATTGCGAGAGATACAAAAAATAAATGTCCCACTGTGAGGCCCTCCTTTGTTTGAGGCCCTGGGCACATTATCCTCATCTGGACGACCATGGCTGGTGATTAAACTCAGTTCATCAGAGTTCATTGCACAATGCGCGAACCGCCGTGCCACCGATCTGAAGATGGGGTTGCGTAAACGTACGACGGCACACGGTACTTTCCCTTTAGCCTTTCCGTACGCTGCGTTGTGAATATCATCTCTTCTCAACCCAAACAAAATGCTGACCTGACCTCCGTTTTCCGATCCCCCGCCCCTTGTCAGCTGTTCGAAGGTAACAGTAACTACGACACGCCGGAGTTGCGCAAGTTCGAGCCGGTCGTGGCGAGCTGGGTGCGCATCTACCCGGAGAGGCAGGCCCCCGGTGGCGCGGGGATCCGCATGGAGCTGCTGGGCTGCGATTCTCTCGGTAAGAACACGCCCGGGGCCACCGGCAGCCCCACGTGTGCACGTATGTATATATGTTGAACTTATTTCGCACCGTGCGTAGTTAATAGTGGTAATCGGATGTGTGGGGGAAGGACAACAAACTAAACATGAAAAGCAATTCGAAAGAAATGAGATTTCAGTCTAGATTTAAAAGTGCATAGCTTCAGTGGCTTCCAAATGTCGGAAGGAAGAGCGTTCCAGACGGCCGCAGAAGCGCACCTGAAAGTGGGCGATGCGGTGACCGTCTTTTTTCGACAGCCAGCCAAAAGCCGCTGCGAGGGTGACCGGAGTTCGCGTGATCGTTTATGTTCCATGACGAGATCAGTAAGGCATTATGGTTCATTCATAGGAAGCATTGTGTGTAAATGAGTGCGACCTCATAATGTATTCGTTCAGCAACCGGAAGGCAATGCAAACTTGGCGAGCACTGGGCAAATATTCGGACCTTGCAGCATTCTTCACATGTGCCAGAGAAGGTTGTACATGGCGCGGAAAGCCCTGCAGCACTCAACACTGCCTTGAGCTACGTTTCATTCGTCATCATCATAATTATCATCGTCAGCCACGAGCTACGCGCTGCTGGATGCGGGGCTCCCACGTCGCCGCCATACCTCACGGGTCTTGTGATGCAGCGATCCATCTCGCTACTGCACACGAGATGATCTCATCGCTCCATCTCCACAGTTGTAATCCTCGCGGGAACGTTCTCTCATTCGGCTTCCATTCTGTCAACACACTCATCCATTCGGCCACCATCCCTTCTGTGAATTCGTTCTGGCAAAGCACACATGCTTTTTGTGATTGTCATTACCATGTCTCCAATGTGTACTTCTTCTGTAATACGTTTCTGTTTCTCTGTGTAATTCCCAGCTCACATTGCATACTATTCAGATTTCATAATATTCAGATTTCATTCGCATTTCTGTGTGAGTGCCCTTGTTTTTGATCCATGTGTCAAAACATGTGATATTCACCGATTGAAAACTTACATTTTCCAATATTTGCATCTCTGTGATGTTCATGAAGTTTTATATTCACGCGATAAGAGACCCATGGGTATGTAATTCTTCGAAATAACGTGTCTGCCTTTTTGAATGGGAGAATGATTAACAGTACAAAATGTTGAACAGCTTTGCAATTCAAAAACGCTGAGTTGCAAAAATTAGCACGGTTGGCGATGTGCGGTACGAAAATAAGTTTAAGATAAATACACACGTAGCGGGCGTATGTACCCAACCCCATCTTGACAGCGCCTTCTCCACGATGCGGCACAACTCTGCATCAAACAAATCGGAATCTTTATTTCGACCGTGGGTGGAATCCGATGAGCTGTGAAGCTCTTTTTTCACAGCTGTCCAGTATGGGCGGGTCAGTAGCAAACAGTACAACAACGACAAAACAACATCAGTGCAAAATAGAGAAGAAAGATAAGCAAGCCACGAAATAGAAATAAATAAATGGTAAATGCATGCATTATATAAGTACGATTTATCAAGCTTGGGAAAGGCAGCAAAAACGATGAAACAGTCCCAGACCACACCAAGATAAGACCACAGAGTGCCTCGATAAAATGGCACATTAACATTGAACGATCGTATTCTTGGTTCTTTCGGTAAAGTCACGTGGATAGAAAATAAAAAAATATTTAAAAAAAATAAAATACAGATGAAAGCAACAACAAAAAACCCACAACGTTTCGATCGCAACACAAGCGGTCTTCATCAGGCGGAGAGAAAAGAGGGCAAGCCTCCAAATGCAACTGCTTATAAGGGTGTCCAAAGTGAGTGGGAGGGGGGCGAGAGTTGAACTATCGATCCACGGGTATATATTTCCCTGGCACACAGTTTGCTTGGCTGCCTCTCCCCAAAGGCTCGCTCGGAGCATCTCCCAGATGTCTGTTCCATGGCATTTTGAGACTTTTTATTTATTCGTGAAATATTCCCCATTTCCTCTTGCTCTACACCCCTTCCGATATAAACATTCCCTCTCACGAAACAATGCCCTCAAGACGATGTTTTCATCGGTCGAGCTATCCTTTCCATACCTTCCCTTCCTGCTAGCAGATGGATCAGATCACGAATGGTCTTTGTAATGTGTTTCATATCATTAAGATTTTGTCTCAGGGATTGTGTCAGGCATATCAGAACATGTATTTATACTGGACGAATCCGATGGGCTAAAAAGCTTATTTTCACAGATGTCCAATAGGGGCAGCTCAGAATCCAGTGTGGGCAGGTTAGGGTATTAGGTGAAGTTGCTCTTTGCCAAAAACATCTGGCAATCCAGCAGTACAATGTTTGCTTAAAAAGCCTCACTGCGGATAAGACTCAGTTCGAAACTGGTGTGAAGTGTTTTTTGCTCAAATAAATGCTGCTGCTGCTCTGTAACATTAGTCTTGAAGGCAAAATTGCGAATGTACTGTATAATAATGATTTTTTTTATGGAGAAGAGACGAAGAGAATGTATGTACAGTGAGGGAAAAAAAGTATTTGATCCCCTGCTGATTTTGTACGTTTGCCCACTGACAAAGAAATGATCAGTCTATAATTTTAATGGAAGGTTTATTTGAACAGTGAGAGACAGAATAACAACAACAAAAATCCAGAAAAACGCATGTCAAAAATGTTATAAATTGATTTGCATTTTCATGAGGGAAATAAGTATTTGACCCCTCTGCAAAACATGACTTAGTACTTGGTGGCAAAACCCTTGTTGGCAATCACAGAGGTCAGACGTTTCTTGTAGTTGGCCACCAGGCTTGCACACATCTCAGGATGGATTTTGTCCCACTCCTCTTTGCAGATCTTCTCCAAGTCATTAAGGTTTCGAGGCTGACGTTTGGCAACTCGAACCTTCAGCTCCCTCCACAGATTTTCTATGGGATTAAGGTCTGGAGACTGGCTAGGCCATTCCAGGACCTTAATGTGCTTCTTCTTGAGCCACTCCTTTGTTGCCTTGGCCGTGTGTTTTTGGTCATTGTCATGCTGGAATACCCATCCACGACCCATTTTCAATGCCGTGGCTGAGGGAAGGAGGTTCTCACCCAAGATTTGACGGTACATGGCCCCGTCCATCGTCCCTTTGATGCGGTGAAGTTGTCCTGTCCCCTTAGCAGAAAAACACCCCCGAAGCATAATGTTTCCACCTCCATGTTTGACGGTGGGGATGGTGTTCTTGGGGTCATAGGCAGCATTCCTCCTCCTCCAAACACGGCGAGTTGAGTTGATGCCAAAGAGCTCCATTTTGGTCTCATCTGACCACAACACTTTCACCCAGCTGTCCTCTGAATCATTCAGATGTTCATTGGCAAACTTCAGACGGGCATGTATATGTGCTTTTTTGAGCAGGGGGACCTTGCAGCCACTGCAGGATTTCAGTCCTTCACGGTGTAGTGTGTTACCAACTGTTTTCTTGGTGACTATGGTCCCAGCTGCCTTGAGATCATTGAAAAGATCCTCCCGTGTAGTTCTGGGCTGATTCCTCACCGTTCTCATGATCATTGCAACTCCACGAGGTGAGATCTTGCATGGAGCCCCAGGCCGAGGGAGATTGACAGTTATTTTGTGTTTCTTCCATTTGCGAATAATCACACCAACTGTTGTCACTTTCTCACTAAGCTGCTTGGCGATGGTCTTGTAGCCCATTCCAGCCTTGTGCAGGTCTACAATCTTGTCCCTGACATCCTTGGAGAGTCCTTTGGTCTTGGCCATGGTGGAGAGTTTGGAATCTGATTGATTGCTTTTGTGAACAGGTGTCTTTTATACAGGTAACAAGCTGAGATTAGGATCACTCCCTTTAAGAGTGTGCTCCTAATCTCAGCTCGTTACCTGTATAAAAGACAGCTGGGAGCTAGAAATCTTTCTGATTGAGAGGGGGTCAAATATTTATTTCCCTCATTAAAATGCAAATCAATTTATATCATTTTTGACATGCGTTTTTCTGGATTTTGTTGTTGTTATTCTGTCTCTCACTGTTCAAATAAACCTACCATTAAAATTATAGACTGATCATTTCTTTGTCAGTGGGCAAACGTACAAAATCAGCAGGGGATCAAATACTTTTTCCCCTCACTGTATTTATCTTATTACCCGTACTGCTTCAAAACGGTGCACACAGAGTGTTTTAGTTAAAAAATCATCCCCAGGCCTTCAGTCATGTTGCTAACATTTAGAAATTATTTTCAGAGGAGAGACAATAGGAAGGTACGTGACATTCAAAAGAAAGCCACCATGTAGGATTCATAAAATTACTAAATTTGTCAAGAATATGAAGACAGCAAAAATTATTATGACATTACAGGTGCGGTGCATAACAACCCATATCCTGTGCAATGAGGACTGAAAATAACTCTCTGGTATTGCACCCTGAGTGGGTGGTATTGTGTCAAGTGAATATCTGAGTCAGAGGTCAATTCAATAAATCTTCCCGCATTTCAACCACAATACAGGACCAAAAAATGCAAACACGCAAGGTCTGCCGACAGGTGAACATATTCCTCTTTATTCCCCGGCAGTGATCTATGAAAACAAAGGGAAAGCTTTGCAAGTGATGTGGGGGGCATAGTGGAGACAATAGGAGATGAGAGGGGTCATTCCTCAAGTCTGAACCAATGGAGATAACATTTGTAGTCTACTATCAATCTACTGTCATTGATTTTATGCAGTAAAAAGCACGCATTGCTACTATACTGCAAATAATAATCAAATTGGCCCCTGCCAATTGGATGAACAGACATAGTCTGATCGCCTGATCGGATATGATGTTTGTTTAACGTGTTCGATCTGATTCCAACCTGAATCGGTCATCCAGCCTAATAAAGGCAGTTTGCTTTTTTTAAATCAATAAGATGGAAAGTGGAAGTGTTTGATTTATTTGGGTGTAGGCATAAGCAGAAATTGCCAACTCCGGAGAATGATGTGACAGGCCCTTCAGTCTCTAATGTCCACATTACAGTAATTGGTGGAGCTAAATTGAAAAACA